AAAGTAACTCCGATATGACTTTTAAACCTGTTGTTCTAAATAATATGAATTCCAAGATCAGAACAAATGAAGGCTTTATTAACAGTCACCAGTATAACACTAAACTTGCTGTTCAGCCATTACAGGAGGATATTGAACAAAGTAACTCCGATCTGAATTTTAAACCAGTTGTTCTGAATAATGTATATGATACATCATTAGCTGTAGAAAAAGCACCATTTTATAAGGCTGGAGATGATTTATTTCAGTATGTCATGAGTAAAGTTTCAAGTGCATTAATGTCATTAAATCATGCTTCCAACAAGGAAACGGTCGGTTTATCAACTCGTCTAGCGAACCCTTCTGTAGCACGTGATAGCCAAACCAGCCTTACACAGACAACAAATCCTCAACCAAACTCATCATATGTTGAAGTTTTTAAAAATGGAGAAAATCAATTTAAGGTTGAACATAGAAAGTCATCGTACCCACAGTTACAAACAGGGAACAAAGAACAAAATTCAAGTAGAACTTCGCAAGTAAAAGTTGACAATTGGAAAAATAAGGAGTTACAACAGAGTTCAAAATTAAAGAAGGATAGTGTTTGTCAAGAACTTATTATTTTATCTCACCATCAACTTGAGAGTAATTCTGGAATTGTAACACAACCACTGGATCACAAGGACAGCAGTCCTGCAGTTGTAACATCATCACTGGATCACAAGGACAGCAGTCCTGCAGTTGTAACACAACCATTGGCTCACAGGGACAGCAGTCCTGTAGTTGTAGCATCATCACTGGCTCACAAGGACAGCAGTCCTGCAGTTGTAACACAACCACTGGCTCACAAGGACAGCAGTCCTGCAGTTGTAACACAACCACTGGATCACAAGGACAGCAGTCCTGCAGTTGTAGCATCATCACTGGCTCACAAGGACAGCAGTCCTGCAGTTGTAACACAACCACTGGCTCACAAGGACAGCAGTCCTGTAGTTGTAGCATCATCACTGGATCACAATGATAGTAGTTCTTGCTCCAGAACAACCCAAGACTTCACAAGTAAGCCAGGAAAAACTGCTGTTATGTTTGCCTCTGATCTTTTATCCAAGTCAACTGGATTAGAAGCTGAGATAGAAATGAAAAGTGAAGGTTCTCTTGCACTATCAAACCCCAATGTAGCTTTACAGTGTAACACTAGTCGAGACAGTAGATATGAAAAGTCACAATCATTAAGTTCAAAACAACCGAAAGAAAAACCTACTTCAGACTATTCAAACACATTTGAAAATTCCATTCCTTCACATAACGAGGAAAACTTACATAAAAATGTTCATAGTAGTGGCAACACCAGCAGCTCTGTGAAAGAGGAACTTGACAATGATGAAACTTTAAAATCAGTCTCTGAGAGTATAGAAATGGAAAGCATGGCCACAGACAGTACCTCGAAAAAAGACGTAACATCCAATGGAAAAACTAAAGAAAAGGAAGTACGGAGTAAGTTGTCACTAAACACTCGGGAAATACCAGAACTAAATAAAAATCAAGAGAACAAAGAAGTACGGAGTAAGTTGTCACTAAACACTCGGGAAATACCAGAACTAAATAAAAATCAGGAAGTACAGAGTAAGTTGTCACTAAACACTCGGGAAATACCAGAACAAGAGAACAAAGAAGTACAGAGTAAGTTGTCACTAAACACTCGGGAAATACCAGAACTAAATAAAAATCAAGAGAACAAAAACATGTTTAAACCTTCGGACAAGCACGCAGACGACTTTCCATCTTTTTCAAGTCTCAACTCACTGACTGGTTTCACAGACATGGAAACACCAAGTATTTCTCTTTCGTCATCAGTTTCAAATAAGCTTAGTGGAAGTGATGTCGAAGATTTCTAGCTTGTGAGCTAGGAAACTCGCCTGAAAATATACTTTAATTCTAGAAGTTAACCTGGTTTTGTTTTTCAATAATGACAGTCACAAAGCTTACAATAAGATCACTGTGATACAAATGGTATGAATACCAAATATTTATAATTAAAGTTGCTGTTTTCAAAGATGAAGATACAATTTTGAAGTGCCATTTTCTTTTACATAAATAGCCCGAGACAACTATAACCACACCGGTGGTTAATAACAAAACTGAAGTTGAACTCGGTAACATAAAACATATTTTAAGCAGCAAGTTTATTACAGAAGTAGTGTTTGTGCATACTGGAACCGATTTGAACTTTTGTATGTATGTATGTGTCATGTATTAAATTTTTAGAAACTGCTGACTGAAAACCTCTTTTTTTAGGAAAAAATACGTTCACTTAAAGATAAAAGCTTAAACTTTTTAAGGTGTATTTTTAAATCTAAATACATGTCGATTTCAAGTTATGCCATTTGTGAAAGCTTCAGTGTAGTAAATTTAATGTCCAGATGTTACAGTGCTACAAACATCACAACAGTAACGATCATTTTACACCACGAGTTGTTCTCGGTAGTGACATTTTACATTTATTGATAAGACAACTTTTCAAAACTTAATGTGTTTCGGATGCTGTACTAAGAGTTAAATATTTATCCTTCCATTTAACGAAAGCTGTTCCAAACAATATGTATGTTGTACATCCTGAACGTAATATTCCAGATGTTGTCTCAAGAGTCTGTGAAGACAGCCTCAAGTCAGTGAAACTTTTCTTACTCCATACAGTCTCTTCAAATTAAGTCAGTACAGTACTGGTGAAATTTATAATACAGTGAAAACGATCACAGGTTTTTTATTACCAAAGTTTACATTTTTGTGAACTTCATCAGTAATTCAATATCATGGACAAACGTGTGTGCTGGTTTATGTAGTGGTTGGATCATTTATAAGTATTTG